ATATCGCCCAGATCATATTTTTCGCGATGACGGTCTACGAGTTGTCGTGAAATGACAGGAATGATGGATTTTATTTTCGCTCTTAATATATAAATATACCGCAGCTGAATTATCCAGCTTCGCCAGCGAGTCAAATATTTATTTTTATAGGTATATACGTCTGCGATGTCGATATATAATTGAAACACACAATTCGACAGGTTATGCTGGTATTTCGAAGATATCAAAGTTATACCGAATTATTTATAATGCAACCATAACAACGTTTCATCCAGCTCAGTAAATTTATCTCGGTATATTACTATATCATATTCTTACCTTAAAAATTAAATTCTACGAATTTAAAAATTAAGAAAAAATATTTTATATGCTATAAAAGTAAAATATTCCTAATTCCACTCCACAATGCTAAAAACTGATGAAAGCCGAGCCAAGAAGCTCGATGGAGTATAATGATGGTTTCTGAAATAGTGTCTGAAAAGCAATATATTAAAAACTCCTGTTATTGAATCTTAACAAGATCATAAGGATATAATATATAGTACGGTACACTATGGCTAAACTACAAAATATTCTTGTTCTTATAAATCAATATTCAAACAAGTATATTCTACTTTTCCGAGTCGCAGTATCCCGAACCATCTGAGCTGTCGCATAACTATATTTTATTAGTTTCTGCAAGTTATGCATACAAATTGTACTTGCACAGTTTTTATAAGTAGTGGCGCACACAGGGAGGATCAGAGGTGTCGACTGATACCCTCAGAGAATTGGTGGACGGCTAGTTCTGTGTGAACTTGTATGAATATTTATTTAATTTAATACTAACCAATTTTTCAGCTATCCAAATCAACATACTAATTATGTTTATCTTAGAACTAAAGCGTCACATGAGAATAAGTAGTAGGGCTCAATCCAAAAAATTATGCTATGCAAACTTATAAATTAATACCCAGAAAATTGAAAAATAATTAATATTAGGTTTATTTTTAGTATCTTTGTTAGTAAGAAAAAACCAAAAACACTTAAAAATAAAAGTTATACTATGCCTAAACTCAGATTTTACTGATGGGGGTGGGTGGTACCTCGAAATATATATTTTCGATAACCTTGTCAAAAATCTGTGCGCCACTTATAAGTTTTCAGTCATAAAATAAGCTAAAAAAACGAAAAATGGTTTTTGGATACATGTAATATAGGTAAGTACTATTCAACTCCTATCGGATGTCAAAAATGTGACTCAAATTCATTATTTATAAATATAAACTATAAGTATCAAATTTAAATTTTCGTGGATAATAAAAGATAGGAAAGTATATCGCCATAGGGGTACTTGGGAGGCGCAAGAGGGCTTTTAGCAACCCTGGTTTTTTTTAGGTCAATCTAAAATAATTAGTTACTATTAATTACACTTTCTATGATTACATTTTTCTTAGATAGCTTAAATTACTTATGATTCGTACTTTTGTAGTCAACTGTAGTTATAAAAAGTTTTTGCAAGAAAATTTAGGACATGCTATTTCATTTTTTCTATTACGAAATATCATTTATTTTTTTACCGAATATTTTAGAACATTAATTAGAATTTAATTCGAGCAACATCAGTTAAAATACGGGCTTCTTAGTCTTAGGCTTAAATTGAAGAGCGCCATTTATAACATTTCGGGGAGTGCCCAGACATACCCGGCATCCCCGTGTACAACAAAGAAAATTCTTAAGAAAAAATTAACGATTTACATTATCTATTGTTGATTAATATTATAAAAAACATAAAACATATATATACTGGTATATATATATATATATTATTATTATTATTAAACTATCAATTTTATCATTTAATTCCTCATAAATAAATTATATTTTTAATAATATTATTCTTTCAAAACAATTATCAGTGATTCGAACTCTTATTTTTGTTAGAACTGCTTCTCCTACACTAAAAACCCTTTTCGATTTTTTTTTTAAATTGGTAAATTATCGTTTTTAAAACATGAAAAATCCTTTTATGGACTTTTACATAAAAATATATCAATTTCATTTTTCACCAGTCATTTCTGAAGAATTTTGGGATGTAGTCCAATTAAAAAATGATTTTATCCCTCCATCAACGTTTTTATTATTTAAAGGTATGTCAGATATTTTTGAAATAGTTCAAATGAACAGCAGATTCTTTAAATAAATTAAACGTTTTACTTTTTTTTTTCTTGACTGTCAATACATTATAGTCATAATAATAGTGTATAATGACGTAGACTATAAGTAGGGTTCTTAGTATTTAAAATACGTCTTTGAGTACCTACTTGAAAAGTATTTGAATACTTTTATTCAAATAATTTTACTCAAATACTTTACAAGACTGGTTCGTAACTATTTATTATTTTACGATGGTTCAAATAAACACTACTATTATATTTATCTTTATGAATGCAAAAAAATGCAATAGTCATTCATTCTCTGATTTTGTTGCATGATAATTCAATAATTGTTTTAATACTACCGTGTATAGGCTTGTAAATCGAATTCGCGAACTAGCGTGTTTATACATAGTTATCATATTGATGGCATTCTCGTAGGAAAAATCGTAAAAAGGCTCTGATCATCTTCAACTTCCCTTACGCAATCGCGTATTATATCGGCAAAGAAAAGGACAGAATTGAACTAATTAAACGCGTTCCCGAACTTTTTACTTGGTTCGGTAGAAGAAACAAAACAATAGGTTGTATTGTGCAGTCAGTATACACTTATACATCGTATAAACATACACACACACACACACACACACACACATATATATATATATATGCATCGTATATATTTTTAATTGGTTTTTTTTTTTTCTTAATTCGTTATAATTACATAGTAGGTACGTGCACACTGCGACATAAGTACTTATATGTACACGCTATACACGTACTTACGTTATACACGGTACTTACTCGATTAATGCAACTCCTAATTGCGTTGCAATATAATAATGTGAATTGATAATTGTACACGACTACAGCTCTTCACAAAAACCATGAGCGATCTCAGTACTATACGGATGGCTGTACACCCGCCGAGATCGCTGGTCGGAAAATCGGATGCGCCGAGATCAGTGTTCATCTGGTGTTACTCACCCGTTATTAATACTATTAGTACAGCGAATAAACCATGGCGGCAGCTCGATGGCAATAATAATGACTATAGTACAGGTGGTAAACAGGTACTTTGATTTCACAATTCAAACGTTTCGAAATACACACATCTCGCTCAGTCGAATTTCCAATTTATTGCAATTTAAACAAAGAATAAAAAAAAAAAAAAAAAAAAAAAGGAAAAACGTGTAAAAACCCTCACAAACTTAAACCGTAACATAAACGTACCCCACCACTGTGGTTGTAGTGTACTGTGGTACTGTAGTGTTACCGTGTGCAAGACGCACACGATTCGTCATGAAATAAACAAATCCGGACCGCATTTCCGAACCGATTGTCCGAAAACGTCTAGAATTGCACGAATTGTTTAATCATTCGTAGGGAAAGTTTTATTCGAACATAACTGTACACACACGCAGTTTTCCCATGGCACAATACTCCGCGCCACGGACCGATGCACGTTTCAGATTCAAGTCACATCACGCAAATATTGGCACGGAGCATACGAGCAGCTCTTTTTTCGTTCACTCAGAACAATAATAATACGTTTCGACTTATTGTCATACAGTTACACCGAACACAATGGGACACCACCAGGCTTAAGAGCTTGAATCGATCCGACGGAACAGAGTGCAGTAGTGAATATATTATTGTCTAGCATCGCCGACACTTTTGGTTCATCTAAGCAGTGACGCACACTCAGCCCTGGAATAACAATAGGCTCTAGGCCCCTAATCCTTGCAGGGCCGTTGTCCAGTATTTGATTGGTTAAGAAACCTTCTCTTTTGGAGAGGAGGTGTTGAATCACATGCAGTGTTAGGCTTTTAAAAACAATAATATTTACAACATTAAAATCAAATCTAAACTTTTATATGATACTTAACTATTATAAATTTTTATACGATAAAAGTTTTAACAAATGTTGAAAAAAATTCATATTAATCCAAAACATATATAATATAAATTGTCAAAAACCATAAAAAAAAAATTTTATACCAATTTGCATACTACAAAAAAATCGTAGCCACACATTTTTGTAGGCCCTAGGTACAATACCTATGCGCTAATACGGCCCTGCGCATTATTAGAAAATGTTTTATAATATTCGTTTATAACTGACTCCCATTGTGCATACATACATGTAACTAATAATAATAATTATATTTTTATTACATAAATCGTATTTATAGTAAATATATGTATTATATATATTTAAATAAATATTCAGTACTTTATTATAGTTATAATTGTTGACAAGGTTATAGAATTATATTTAAGGGGGTGTGGGGCAAAATCTCCACGAGTATGTTTTTGAAAGAGATTTGGTGGATGGGTGGTATTTTTTTGTTGCTACCCCTACTTACAAGTGTATGTCATACCATCTAAGACCAAGTGCGATGATAACTAATCTAATGGCTATTGCATAAAAGTACACATGAGAATACACCAAATCTGGGAACATATATAATTTTTTAATTTAAAAACTCATAAAATTTCTTAGAAAATATCTTAGAATAATGTGAAAATTCACTGTTAAACAAATTTAACAACAAAATTCAAAATTTCAAATTGTAATACTGGTAACAATATGTTTTAAAATTTAAATATCAATTACATAATTTAAAAAAATTTGTGTCTATTTAAAAATGAAAAATTATAGTTTATAAACATATTGGGATATTTAATACATTCACACTTAATTGTAAAAGTCTTCAAATGTTATCCAAAAATGCAAACAAACCAACTTCAGTGTAGGTATTCCTTAATAGCTGTTAAAATAATTAAAGCTTTGTAATAATACCTATGAAATTATCAAGTAATAAATGATCATAGAAAAAAATACAAATAAAAAACTCCAAATACACCATACATTGGTATAATCAACCTGAACTAAAATCATACAATTAAACATTCAAATATTGTCAAAAGTTGTTTAAGATTTTACATGAGTTAAATTTAATATTACATTATATATAGTAAACTTAAAAAAAACTTAAAGACATATTTTTTAGTTAGTAATTTAATAGTTTAATAGTTTATTGGGAATTTTGTAACCGTTGATTGTGCTGTTCCTCTTCAGCTTCCAACAATTTCAGTTGCTGTTCAAGTTCGTCTTGTTGTTGTTGCAATATTTTTTGCCTCTGATCTTCCAATATTCTATTCTGCTGTTCTTCCATTTTTTGTTTTTGTTTTTCATCTAACATTTTTTGCTGCTGCTGTTGCTGTTCAATACTGAGCTGAGGTTTCTCAGCTTTTGTCACTGTAGTCTTCTGCGACTTTTGATTAATCTGTTTCTGCGGTGTTTGATTTACTATCTGCACAGGTAACTGTACTTGATTTTGTTGAAAAGCCTCTTGTTTAATTGTATTTATCAGTTGATGATTGATAAGAAAGAGAAATCTTAAGCCAGCAATCTAAAAACACATAGTATGTATAATATACAAAATGATAGCCAAAAAAACAGCCAACCTTATACTAACCTCCACAACAGAATTATGATTGAGACGACCACGGCAGCCAGCTACTATAGGTTTCCCATCAACATACAAACACTTTTTACCATCGCAACCTATTACAAAATCACCTGAGTTTCGCAAACGTATAGTTGCTTGTCGTCTAGATATTTTCCAGGCAGGTCCTTCAAGTTTCAAATCAACATCAACTGGCATGTACTTGGATGAACGTCCAATTGTTATCTGAAACATTTAAAAGATATATTTATTTATTTTCTCAATAAACATGAACATATGTTTACCTCTCTAGATCTCATTAAATATCTGACTAATCGACCACGCAATACAGCCAATGTCTGTGGTTCAAATTCTACTGGATTAATACCAGTCATAGGAAACACTAATACTTGAGCTCTAGGTATTTCATCTTCAAGAACTTTGATTTCTTTTTTTATTTTCCTGCAAATAAATACTAAAATATAAATAATCATAAAAAAAAAAAAATTATATTATTTAATACACAAAAATCTTATACTATAATAACTTTTCTTAAAATTAAATTTTTGTAAAAATATTATCAGTTAAAAAATTAAATATATTACTTGTTTGTCAAAGTAAGATGTCTCTCAAGAACTGGATCTGGCCTTTCAACCAATAAATGCTGATCATTAAGTAAATCTTCACATTCTGCAAATGTAGGGATATGCTCTGAAGTCATTGTGGTAACTGGAAAAGCACAAAAAAAAAAAATTGTTTAATTAATATTTATTATTAAGAAGTTTTAATATAAACTATTTTCTTAACATTTTAAAAAACTTATAAAAAGTACAAAGTGTGATGTTATATAAATAGTAACTGTAACGTTTCTTCTGTAAATTATATCACAAATATTATACTTAATTTAATTTTAAATCAATTACAGCCGAAAATAAAAATCTTTAATAATTTAATAAAAAAACTTTGATCATAATAAATATAATACTGTTAAAACTTTCTTAACATTTGAAATATACATTTTTATACATTAAAAATATTTAAATACAAATTCATGAAAAAAAGAAAATTATTATGGAAACTTAAGAATTTTGAAAAAATTTAAAATATAACAATTTAATCTCTAATTATAGCTTATATCAAATGTACAATAAATGCTTTAACATGATAAATGAAAAGAAAATTATGATGAATACTAGCACAACTATTTTCAAACTGGGGTCACCAACCATTTTTTCAGGTCGCCAATATATAAAATAACTAGTAATGTGTTTTTATAAATTTCATCATGATAATCATTGTTGAGAATTACAATTAATAAATGTTTAGGATTTCCAATAAATACATTATATTCATTATACTAATTTGTCACTAATTTTTAATGTTATCAAAAATAAAAAATAACATTAAAAATCTTGGTGACATTATAGAGGGTTTCCGCCTCAAAAAGATAGAAAACCGCTATTCTAGCTTATAATATTAGAATGATAATAAAATATATCAATTATATGCTTAATTATTATGCTTATATTTTAAAAAGACAAACAATAAAATTTACTGTTCCTATCTTACACACATATATTATAATATAGTACTATAAGATTATATACTTTTCATATTTTATTTATGGTAATAGTATTGACATAATTTAAATAATTGTGAAAATTATTGAGAATATTTTCAGAATTTTGTTGGGACCTTTAAAATATTTTGAACAAAACTTTCTGAAAAAAGAGCTTTCAATACATCAGAGTGCATTGGTATTTATAATTATTTACTGAACAGTCTTACTGTACTATAAACATGTAAAAAGAATTATGATCAATTTCATTATAGTGCATTTTTAAAGAAAAATTTAAAATTTACATTTTGATAAAAATAAGTTGTCCATTACAAGGTACAAACTAAAAATTATCCAATTCCAGATAATTGTGGTTTTAACTGTTTAAGTTATTTTAACTTCAATCTGTGAAATATGTTATGTTTATGCATAGATAACTTAATAATATTAATATAAGCTTTACCTTCTTGCTCATTATTAAGAATATGAATATTTCGATCTTCTAGGGAACTCATTAATGGTATTGGTATAGGATTTTCCAAGGCACCTGTAAAAATGTTAAACAATATTTAAAAAGAGAATAAGAAAATTTTTCCAACAATAATATACAAATTAATATTTAAAAAGTGATAACTTACTACACTGATCTGATAGCAATGAATATCGTTTCATTAATTGCCAATGAAACATGAGAATCTTAGCAGTACGTCTACGATGGAATACATTAGGATTTTGATTAAGCAATTCTTGAAATGTCTCAATTGTAGGATTTGAATTCTATAAAAACAAAATCTTCATTTACTGAAAAACTAATAAAATAAAATTATGTAAATACAGATTGTATAGTAGCCAAAATGTCTTCTTCAGCAATAGAATATAAAGCTTTGGATTCAATGTTGGCAATAGTTTCTGGATGTAAATTGCGCATTGCTGATACAGCCAGTCTAGATATTATTGGATCATATAACAAGGCATACCACCTTTGTGAAATTTCTTTAAGTGTAAACCTACAGCTGAACTTCACTCCTCTATGTACCAAAGGCAAGTTATTTGTCTACAAAACAAAACAAAAAATAATGTGTGATTTTGTTTAATTTATATTTATTTATTTGTTGATAAATAAAATGTATCTTACCTGTAATACACTGTGTATGAGCATCAAATCATCGGTAGGCTTCCAACGTCCCAAATCTTTGTTTAAATTCTTCTGCTTCCTTGATCTATTTCTATTTGATGATGATACAACGGTTGAAGTAGATGGCACACTTGTAAAAGGATTTAATGTACTTGTAGTACCTAGAGGAGTTCTATTAGATGGAACTTTTCGTGGTTGAGTAGTAGAAGTAGAAGGTGTAATATTTGCAATTACTGTTTCAGGAACACTATGAACTGGTGACATGATATTTTCCATTTCTATAAAAAAAATAAATACATATTGATTTAATATTATTACAGAGTAAATTGTCAGTTGTGAGTACATGAAGCATTTGAAAGTAACTAATATATTAAATCAATTTCATCAAAACTAATATTGACTAATTAACCAGGATTTCAATGTCACAGTTAAAAAACAAAATACGTCAAAATTAGTTTTAACTAATTAAACTATAGATTTAACCGGGACTTCAATTTTGTTATTAGTTTTTAAATACAATTTTGTAACAAAAGTCAATTTGAAATAAGTTTAATGTTTATTATTTGTTTTGACTGTGCAAATTATTATGGCATTTAGAGTTACATCAAATATTTTTTTTTTTACATAAGGAGTGATTTATTCCTCATGATTTTTGAAGCAAGATACTTAGTCATTACAGAATTTTATATTTATACCATTGTTAGGTATGTTTTATGGCAGTCAATTTTTGATCGCCATCCAGTCAAAGTTATCTTAATTTATTTTCATATGAATCGCTAAATGCAGAAAGGGCACATGTCCAATATTTTACAAAAATCACTTTATTGCATAATCCAATTTAATATTGATAAATACATGGTTTTGTGCAGACAAGGCACATATCCTATTAAATAGATCCCCGTTAAAAATAATTTAAAATTTCGTTAATTGCAGAAAAGGCACATATCCTGGACATGTAACCTTTTTGCATTAAAATTATACTTAAGTAATATTATCAGACCTAAACTTCGTGAAATTACTTTATTGTATGACATGAAATATTGTTCTATTTAAAAATTTAATTTTTTATAATTGTTTATCAGTAAATAAAGATTATAATGGGAAAACGTTGCTTTACCTAATTATAAAATAAAATGATTATCAGTGAATAAAATAAATATTGTACTGGTTGAAATGTCGTAGTCGTGTACAAACGATCATAACGTGTATAACTTTAAAATTTGAGTTCAGACGACGAATGTATTAGTCCTCTCAAAAGAAAAAAAGGTGTTTCTAACAGTGATAAATATAAAAGAAATATTATTAAGCAAGCAAAAATCGAAGGGAAAAAACATACAAACTGGATTGGAAAAATAGTTGCTACAAAGAATGATCCTTCATTAATACTTAAAGAATGGTAATTATATAATATTTAGTTTGTTTTATTCGTTATTAATAAGTAGTAGCTTTTATATTTTTACAATAATATTTTCGATTTAAAGTTGTTCAAAAAAATGTCTCAAAGACATTCAACAAGAAAAACTTGAAAATACAATGAAAATGTTTTATGAAATGCATTCTAAAAATGAACAAGACCTTCATCTTCAACGAACAATAGAAATAAAAGAAATTACAAGAAAACGAAAACGAATAGAAACAGAAGAAGAAAAAGAAAAACCGAAATCCAAAAGTGTTCAGTATTTTTTAATAGTAGATGGACAGCGTATTCAAGTATGTAAGAAAGCTTTCATTAACGTTTATAATATTTCTAATAAAAAAATTAGATGGCTGGTCGATTTGTTAGAAAATAATATTACTCTAGTTGATATGAGAGGCAAAAATATTAGTGCTAATACTATGCCATATGAGTATTGTCAAAAAATACATGAACATATACTGAGTTTTCCAACTAAAGATACTCATTACACAACACGATTGAAAAATTATTTGAACCCTAAATTAAATGTTAAAACTATGCACACAATGTTTTTAGAAAGTATCCAGAATTAGAAGGGAAAATAAAATATCAATATTATTGGGAGTATTTTAAGAATAATTTTTCATTAAGCTTTGGTGCTCCAGTCAAAGATGCTTGTTCAAAATGCGAAGAATTAAATACAAAAAATAATGAGTAAAGATTTAAATGATGTTGCAAAAAGAGTTGCTGCTGCGGAATTACTAGTTCATAAACGTAGAAGCAAAAAATTTTATAATAATATTAAAAAAACAATAGAGATTTCTCAACAGAATAAAAAAGTGTTAGGTCTTTGCTTTGATTTTATGGCTGTAGTTGACTTACCTAAAATACCGGTGCAGGAAGTATATTATTATCGTCAATTATCTGTCAATACTTTTGGTATTCATAATTTAAATACGAATAATTTATTTTGTTATGTTTATCATGAGGCAACAGCAAGAAAAACGCCAAATGATGTATGCTCTTTTTTGGTTCACTATATTAATAATTTTGTTGATGATAATGTTGAGGAATTGCATTTGTTTTGTGACAATTGTGCTGGGCAAAACAAAAACCATGCATTACTCAGAATGATTATGGCTCTAGTTGAAGTTAAAAAATTCAAAAAAGTTCAGGTGTTTTTTCCACAAAGAGGACACTCGTTTTTGCCGTGTGATCGTGACTTTGCATTGATAAAAAAACAACTGAACAGAGTGGATCGTCTATACACTTGAGAAGACTGTATAGAACTTATTTTAAAATCATCAAGAAACCCAGAAAAATTTTCAGTGTTTCTAGTTGATAAAAGTATGATTTATGACTATCAAATGTGGTTTCCACAATTTTATAATAAAAATACTAACGCATTAGAATGTTTAAGCCGTAATAAAACATTGAAACAACGTCGTACAATAGAAAAATTTTTAATTTCTAAGTACCATTATTTTGAATGTGTATCGGAAAAATGTGGAATAATTGAGGCAAGTGAATTTATTGACGGAATAATATCAAACCATTTCAAATTGAGAAAAAACAATGCAATGCCCATACAACTCCCAAAAACACTAGTTTATACTTCAAGCTTACCAATTCTTGAAAGCAAAATGAAAGATTTGAAGCAACTAGCGAAATATATTCCGGAGCCAGCATTGCAATCATTTTGGAATTATATATTTTCGTTACAAACTAAGACTGTTACTAACCTCAAGCAAGGCAAAATAGAACATAAGATATTTATATAATTAAATTTCTAATTATTAAAAATATATCAAATATTTTTGACTCAATATTAGTATATAATCTACTGTATATTATTTAATCATGTCAATTTAACTTTTATGCATATTAAAGCTACTTATTTATAAGAAAACGGTTATTTTCGAAATATAAATGGTAATTTGAAGCATAAACGGCACATGTCCACAACCTTAAAGTCCTTCAGATACCTACAGTTAGATTATATTTCTTTAAGTGATTGTAGAAATATGTATACCATGTCTTTAACTATATTATTCTATAACATACAATTTGTAATTCAATTTTTTTCAAATATATTAAGTTTTTTGTGTTTCCTGAAAAAATGTAAAACTTGGACATGTGTCCTTTCTGCATTTAGCGATTCATATATTATGTCATGATAAACACCATATAACTAAATGTCATGATAGTTTGTCTAGTCAAAACTAATAATAAATATAATACCTATTTCTCATAGATTTTTGTTACAAAATTATATTTTAAAATTAATATCAAGATTGAAGTCCTGGTTAATTCTAGTTTTAACTAGGTAGTCAAAATCAGTTTTGACGAAGTTGATTTGTCAAAACAAGTATTGACTAGATAAAACTAATTATCAAAAAATTTTGGATTTTAACTGTAACATATACATAAATATATTTTAGATAAAACTTAAGATAACTAACAATTGAACAAGAATAAAATTAATAACTTAACACCTATATCAAAATAATAAATAATACATAACATTGCCTACTAATGTACATAAAAGAAATATGACTAAGAAACTAGAAGAGGAATTAAATATAATAAACTTATACAAATTTCATAGAAATTTTTGCTTTTGAGTAGCTCAAATTTAACTAAATCTCACTCAATAAAGCAAAACTTATGTTACATCATCAACATAATTTTTTCAGTCAGATAGTTCTATTTAGATTTACCAAGATGAGAAATGGATAATTGAGTGGGAACAAACCTGTACTGGTAGACATGTTCAACGATTGAGTACGAGTGCGTTGCGTTTTCGGCAATGGTGATCCAAAAGCAGCTCCGAGGCTGGACTCGACTAGTTCATCATCGAATTTTCTGCGTTTAATCGAACGCGAGCTGAAAAAATAGGTAGACAATTTCGTGTTGTAATTCTTATTACTAAAGTTAGGGAATGCACTACCATGTAACTGCATTATACAAAACCTACCTCCTTCGCTTCGAACTGTCTTCCATAGCCGCAGCGCTGCTATCGTTCAAGTTGATGTTCGAAGACATATCAGTTTCTACCACGCGAAGGTTAGAAAGAGACGACAATCAACCAAGATGACAGAGTCGGACACTCGAAACGACCATACCTTTCGTCGAAACAGTTATCGGCACGCTATGGCTGGACAAAATACCATGAGCTAGAGTAAACAAGAGGCAACAATCTTCAACAATAGTCGTTAATAAACGCCGAGAAGTGATACCGTCCGGTGATAAAAATCACAGTGTAGCCAATAGTACGGCGTATTATTGTATTCGTCGTCACAGAATGGAGTGAACAATGAATTGAACGCAGCACGTAATAACGTTGACTCATGAAGCGGGGGAGGTCTTTAGGGTTGAGCTCACCACCAAAATATTAGGATAATGTATATTTATGTTTCTGAACCAGCGTTTATTAGTTCGGCCCCGAAGACTCTTATTTAGTCTACTTAGGTCCCAGTTTTTTTTCGGGTAGTACACCAGTTGGGTTCCTTAATTTTACAAGTACAACTCTAGTTGGATCCATACAAAAAAAAATTTTACCTCTCATTTTTACAGACTTAGGACTGTCAGTTACCTATAAATTAGAACAGATATGATTTTTATTTTTTTTAAGTTTCTAATATATAATTATTAATTGAAAATTAGAATACCTACTGATATATGGTAAATAAATAAATAAAATTATTGAAAACTTTAAGAATTTACACAATTGGTAAAAATTTAAATGATATAGCTTTTACATCTATTAATTATCTATTAATAATACTAATATTTATCAAATCTATTAATTTTTTAACATTGTCAAGTGTATCAATACACAAGTATACAAGTTACAGGTTTTTATAGTCTGACTGAACTTGTATGTTATTGTTTTTATAATCAGACCTAATGAGTTGTTTATCTTTTTCAAAAATATTATCTGGGACCCAACTCAATTACATCCTTCTGAACAAGCACTTAACCATCATTAGATAATTATTACTAATGTAAAAGAATTAATCCTTAAAGAGGTAACGAAATCCAATTTTCCGCCGTTATTTTTTATTTATTAATCATTTCTGCCCATTATGTGATCCCTTTAAAATTTGAAATTTTTTTCTTTTACTACATACGACATCAAGGAATGAACAAACATTAATTTTTCCAGTTTTCACAAAAAACCTTGTTTTCCCAGTTACGGTTAATGATTATTGTTGTTATCGTAATTTGTAAACCTCTCTTCACCTTGATATTTTTCCACTTCGGTGTACGCGCCTGCTTAACGGTGTTGATCTAGATAAATTTCGTTAAATTAAATTGTTTTCTAAAACATTATTGAAATAATATAATATTAATAATATAAAAACAAAGTGTAGATAGTTATGGCATTTTTTTCAAAAACGTTTTCGCTTCGGTTTGCGTAAATGGAAGGATTCACTTGGTAATATTATGAATTAAAAATCGATCTTATGGAAAGTAGATTTTCCGACGAATTACACATATGCGACAAGTGCAAAACTTAAGACAAAATATGTCCGGGCGTACTCTCTTTAACTGTTGTTTGCATATGATGTTTTCATTAGCAAAAAATATAATATGAGTAAACAACGAATATGCGCGCAAGCGAACACATATACAGATGTAAACGCACTAATATGCAACTTTTGTTCTGCGCAAAATCATTAACCATATATTTGTAATTTACATTATAGCTTTTAATTAAGATAAAATAGTCAATATAACTAAATAAAATACCAAAATGTTCATTGGAAATAATAACAGAAATAAGTGAAATTATAAAAATAATAACTTATAATTTTTTCTATACTTATTCGTGTTAAAAAAAATGGAAACACACTATACATTGATAGATCATAGTCAAACGAATCCACAGGGGGGAGCCCACTCAGCGTCATGGCGCCTAGAGAGAGTTTCTAAAAACCTTTTGAAATATATTTTCATGTATACTGTATACGCAACCCAATATACATATCCATTCATAGTAAATCATATTCTAATAAATATCAAAAAACCAAAACATAACGGCTTTAAAAAATCTCTTTATCCAATATCAATATGAATATACAAAAAAAATATTTTCCGATACACAGAAAATTTAATATAAAATGTTAAATACAGTGTTCGGTAATAGATTTTCTTTTATGTTAAAAATTCGCTTTTGAAGTGATTTTATAAGGTTTTCTTTGATATATTATTAATTTATTGGTATGTAATAGATCGATAACACGGTCTAGAAAAAATTCTTTCTTTAAACCGCGGTAGAGATAATTGAAAATTATACATTATTAATCACGAATATATTTCTATGTTAAAAACAATAATTTATATTCATGTGCAAGTGCTCAGGCACGTAGCCTAATAGAAAATTTCTATTAGGGTGTCAAACATTTTGAGCCAATGTATCATTTTCCATAATTTGTTCGTATGAAAAACTTGTAGAGTCTGTAGAGGGGTTTTATCTCCATACTCTCCAGCTCATTTGGCATAGAATCCCATACAAAGAGTATTAATAATTTAAAATTTACCTTTCATTGGTCAAAACAAATTATTATCATACTTAATTAAAACCAAAAATATATTTTAAGTAAGCATTTATTTAAAAGAAAAAATACACGTCATATAAGATTGAAACGTTCGTAATATAATAAAAAAATATTTTTCTGTATTTGTGATTTTCAGAAAATGGTTACACAAAAACATCCAAGTCCAAGTTTTTCCTCATACAGTTTTTGAATCGTCTGAGACATGAAATAGTTCTTTCACACGCTGTCCAGGAAACTGGAATAGTTATTATAATGATAGCTAGCTTATTAAGTTATTGACTTATTAAGTTTCATTGAAAGCAAGCTTATACTTTTAAAGTAGATAGACCGGGACGCGGCAAATGCGCGACGTGACCGTCTTCTCCTGATCTGCGGTGGTGTTTTTTTTTTTTTTTTTTCTTCGTAACCGTCGAATTTTATTATTGCGTGCGCGGTGTGGTTCCGAGTCTTGTGTTGGTCGGACATGGGTTCACTGTGCGAACGTTTGCATATCCATTATTCCAGTGGTGTCGTCGATTGTTGTACCGGATGGTACGTGTTGTCGCGCGCAGTGGCAATCCACGTGTCGCGCGCAGTACCGTATTGCGCCGTTAGTAGTGTGCGGGTTTGGGACCCTGTAACGCGTTGTCACGCGTCACTTCCGCACCCGTAGGCCTGTCTAAAATTCTTTCGCAGTCATAGCAAATGAAATTTTTCATTGGGAAAATTGAAATTTTCATTTAGGGTACTAACACAAAGAGTGACTTATATGCAATACACTACCCCTTAGAATGTACATGTTTAGCAATTGTAACTACTATAGTAATTATAGCTAGTAAATAATACACTCATTTTCTTCAAAAAAAAAAAAAAATAAATAAATAAATAAAAAGTCTATAACGTAACATACAACTGCATAGGTACTTTAATATCTATGGATATTAGATAAGAAATATTATTGGTTAATTTTTGTCGCAGACATATTACGTAAATAATATATCATATGAAAATATTTATTATTTAGTTCTGTTTTATTTAATCATTCTTTTCACTTTTTGGTTATTATTTTTAATGATTTAACCATAAATTTAAAACGGAGCTGGATTTCGCAGGTCTGGCCATTACCACAGTAGCCATAGCCGTAAACACGCTAATGTCCACACCTGTGACCTCACGGTGTTGTTCGTCTTCATTGTCATAATTTGATTCATGTGTTACGTCATCTTTTCCGATGAGCAATGTTTTCACTCGGTTGTGAGGTTATCTCGATCCACATATTGATGTCGATACGATAAAGTTAACATCGATCTTACGTGGATCACATTGATTTATTTATTTATATCAATTATTATTTTATATATATATATGTGTATAATTTTTCAGTATTGTAATTATTTATTTACCCGTTGTGATATTATTTATTAATTTCAATTTTATTTTTTACTCCTTTTATATATCTATATATATATATATATATATATTGGGTGCCCTGTTGTCATTTACTGTAAACCTAATATTACCATTGTTCTAGTATCATAATTTTGTCCTGGAGCTCTGTGCATAGTGCCTATTATATTGGTGTATTATTTCATTTTTATTATTAAAATTAATAATAGGTCACCTTTGTCTAATACCTGTGCTAGTTGCAGCAAACAACTGCACTTTCGTAAGATTTGTCGCAGCACCATTAGTATTTATTATTCATAACTTAAAAACTGTTCACTTTGTGGTTGTGGGACTTATAACCTTAAAATGAACAGTTACAATGTAAGTAAGATATTGTTGCCAACAAACCATAATTATATGTAAATCTTCTTAGTTCTTTAACTCTCGTACAATCTAACACTAGTATAAATATATGTAGTCTTAAATTATTTTTTGATGTAATATGATTAGTTTCTAAACAACTATATTCAGTAAATATGTACCTAGTATTTACATTTTGCGGGGACTTTTTTGCTTTTTGTTAATTTAGTGTAGATTTGTGGTTTTCGTCGCAAATAAGTATTGCTTAAATGTACATTTTATTAAAACTAGTATGGCTGTTCTCAGTCTTATTAGTTTTCAAATTATAAAAAATAGTTATAGTTGATGATATATGTATTAAAGATTCAGTCATTTCAACATTTAAATTTTACAAGTTATCATTTGCTATTTTGAAAAATTAATGAATATCACAAAACATAATTAAATTAAATACCAAGTCAAAATCTCAAAATCTATTAAATGTAATAAGACCCGATATTTTATAAAATAACAGCTCAAACGTTCAACATAGAACACAGTCGGATATTTTACACTAGTTCCCATTTACTATTATTTCTAATATGAATATTAAACATATATATTTATAGATAATTAATAATTCAATATAATAATAATTGATCTGTATATAAGTTATATAATAATCAAAACCATAATAAATCGTAATATCGAATAGTTATAATAATAGATTTATTTAATGCGGATAAGCTATTAGGATAGCGTGTTTTTGATATTTAATAAAAAAAAATTTGTGAGTGCATTTTGGGGCAGAGGGGGCTGGCCAGAGTAAATTGAAGGGGGCCTAGCCAACTCAAGCCCCTCCTGGTTACGTGCTTGTAAATTCTGTTGTTACTTCATATACTTGTAGGGTTGAGATACGTCCCGATTTAGCAGAACTTCTTAACGAGACGCTTATGTC